CTAATGTTTTATTTATTCATATTTTTTAAATAAACTCTGGTCTTGGCTTCAAAAACTCTAGCCTTGGTTGAAAATGATTTACCTGCAAGCTGCCATATTCCGACACACTATCCTGCAGATCCCTAGATGCCGATTATATTTTTGTACAAAAGTTGCTGTCCTCGTCTTGTTTTACTTTGGGAGCAGTTATTATGAGTTGTCGTTCTTGTCACCTTTGCAGCTGGGTTTGGTTTGGTTCCAGGTTCCATCTTTGGTGCAGCGTAGAACACTGCGTCCAGATCCAGGCGGTTCCATCAGGTGTCCAGGGTTACAGCGGTAGGTCACAGTGTGGTTGAAGGTAAACTCTCTTCCGAGATAGATCCCATTGGCCACTGGCCCAGGGTCTCCGCAACTGATCACTAAAAGGAGGTGAGGGAGACATTTTATATGGCACATCATGAATAGAGTATGTGCAGTATATATCTGTCAGATGAAGCCTGCAGTGGCGTAGTAATGCATCAGGGCAGTAACATTTTTGGACTCTGCTTGCCCCTTTACCTTGCCCTCCTACTCAACTTTCTAAGAGAAGCCTTCCTTAACTTCCCCTGAAGCACATCACCACTTCACTTCGTCTAACTCCCACGGTCTTTTTATGTTTTACCCCCAGACCCCTGTCTGACTCAGTTAAACCACAACACAACAACCTTGTAAAGTTCTGTATCTGCACAGTAGCACGCTGCTGTAGTCCATGCAGAATTAATGCTAATATTGTGTCCTTGTCTTAAAAAAAACCTGTAGTTGCACCAACACTGACATTATTTGCAATTGCGCAGTGCTAGTTTGACCTGATAATAAAACAGTAATATAGCAATATTATTCAATCCTACCAGTGCAGTCTGGTGGTTGTCCTGTCCACGTCCCATTTGTTGTGCAGTGTCTGGTGGTCAGACCTGATGTTTTGAAGCCTTCCCAGCATGCATAAGCCACTGAGCTGCCAAAGGTGATGCCGTCGCTGAAGACAATCCTGCTGTGTGCTGGCGTGCCAGGGTTACCACAGGATACAGCTGAGGATCGAGGAAATATTAAACAGCGGTGATTAATGATACTGATGATATCAGTGTGAACAATAATGTCTTGCTGTCACTCAAGGCTGATCAGCTGTGGGCTGCAATAATGAGATTATCACTAGAGTCAGCTGGAAATCACATAAAATATATCCCTGAGGTAGTGAGGCTGATTAATAACTAAAGGTTGTTGGACTGATTCCCAGCCCCGACTGAATGGCAGATGTACAGTATTCTGCAAGGAGCTGGCAGGAGGCTGGTAATACATCTGCAGCAACCGCTTTAAGTGCCACTGAGCCAAGCACCAAGGCTTAAAATGCTCCAAGGACAAGGTTCTGCCTCTTATTAAAAAACAAGACACGATGATGTGAGTAGATATGTGACAGTGTTTTGCATAAGATCATCGTGGTGTGACTCCCAACAGCTTTGGAATGAAAAAAACAAATATATGTAAGATGAAGCGTTGGTCATGCAGCAGGGTTGTGAAGCTAATTATCAGTCAGTGCTGTGGACAATGTCCTTCTGAAGCCATCATCGGGAAAACAAAGTCTCAGCAATGAGAGCTCCGAGAACACACATTTATAATTTGAGAACAGCTGCATGCAGGATATTGCAACATCCTTTAGGACACACTGAGGTCTCACAGCTGCCTCAGCAGGCTTTGCACTAAAGCCCACACGATGCATGGTTCTCACAGCGAAACATTTTTCTTAACCAGTCTAAGTCTTCGATCTTTATCCATCCTAGGATTTCTTTGGTTTCAAGCCCCTGCTGCTCTGGTAGATTGTAAGACAAAACTGACAGAGAGGACGCAAGGATGAGGAAGGGCACAGACTGTGGCTGTGGTCTGAAGCAATGATTCATCAGTCTGGAAGTTTGCTGACGCAGCACATTAACAGAACCAACAAGAATTGACAACTAACCACAGCACATCTCACTAATAAGATCATGACAGCTGATGGCCTTTAACAATCAAACACCTATTGATGGGATTCATTAGTTATAGCCTTTAAAAGCTCTGTCCAAGACGGGATGAGTAGGTGGAGCACATCACGCAAAGCTTTGTGTGTGTGTGTGTGTGTGTGTGTGTGTGTGTAGTATATAGATGGTGTGAGCATCAGTTTGTGTTTGACTATGTAGTTGTATTTTGTTGTTTATGGATTTCTTTGTGTTTGTGTCCCGGTGATAGATGCCTCATCCTTTCTGAATCAGCTTTAAACCACTATTAGCTTAATGAAAAACAACTGAAGACCAACATAAATAATTAGCGTGACACAAACAGACACTGGCGCACCAACACAAACACAGTGTGTGTGTGTTCTGTTTGTGTATGTGTGTGTTTTACGTGCACATGCTCGGGTGTCTAAGACTAATAGAGTGGGTTTTGATGTTATTGATTCAGTGCATGTCAGGAAACCATGACTCAAAATAAAAGTAAAAGTCACTGCTTAACTGTTGAGACTGTCTCAACCACACACTGTCCACAACGTTTGTTCAACTGCATCTCGCTTTAGAGTTGGGTGTCTTGCAGATTTGGGAGAGAGTTGCCTCTGTAAAGAGTTTTATTCCAAATCAAGATAAAGTCTGAAAATATTGATAGCTGGTATGGCAAAAAAAAAAGTACATTATGGATTTCTAATAACAATCCAGAGGATTTAAAAAACAAATAACAACAAGTAACAACGTCTTTAAGATTGGAATTAGATTTTAAATATAAAATTGTTGAACAAATTATATGGTATGCTGGTATGAAATATGCCAAACAGAAGCTGCAATTTATCAGCCAAATATATTTATTAGTATGATTATCCACTGCGTATTTTTCTCATTTAAGTCAGTTTGGCATTCGATCTTTGCAGTGCTCTATATTTAGTATACTAGTGATGTTTTGGGTCACGTCCACACAATATTACAGCAGAGTACATGGAAACTGCATGACTCACTCTTCCTCCCACTATCCACTAAACTTACTGCAAGAACAGTCTATCCATCTAACTGAAGCTAGATTGTGCATCAAAGAACAATGGAGTTGATGTCAGCAGTGTTTTATTCAGCCCACCTTACATAGCTGGCGATAGGGAGCAGGCAGCGCACAGGCAGCGGCTTAGGATTTGGGGACCCACTTTAATTTCCCCTAAACCCTCATGGGTTTAAAACGTGTCTCTGAAAACTGCTGTTGTATAGGAGCCACTTTATTGCCACTGTGCTGTGGAAGATCCAGCTCAGTCTGTCAGGAGTGACACACTTCAGTACTTCAGACTGCACAACTACACACACACACACAAACACACACTGAATTCTTTGAATAACACTTCAGTTAGAGGTCAGTCTACATATCAAATCTCCATGTAAAGTACAGCTACAATATTTTTTTTATTTGATGTTGTGATGCATTTGTTTGCCGCAGCGATCAAGCTAAAGACTGTCAAATCATATTGTTGTTTAGAATAAAATTTTACATACAAGGCAATTCACCATACATATAACTTTTCATGTTATGAATTATATTCATCCCTATTAATGTATATGGAATGTGTAAGCTTCACTTACTCAATATTTGTAATGTACAATGTACAGGGTGCGATGTGTGTAATGTGCTTTAAGCTATATTTAGGAATGGATTATTTGCTTACTGTCACTAGCATGCCAAGTAGCTTGATGCTACTGTATTCTCCAAAGAAAAGATTAAGCTGTTCAACTTTGGAGCCTGAGCTGATTTATTTTCACATAAAAGAGTGAATAATTAAGTCTATATGCCACAAATACACTGTCTGTTTATACAAAGTCTGCACCTCTTCCTTTTACAGCTATGTTTACTTTTACAACAGTGTTCTATAGAATCTGGGTTGGGACCCAAAGGTAAATCTCAGAGGAGACAGAGGTAGCTTGCTATCAAAACGCTAATGTTTTCTAAACAGACAATTCAGTTTATGCTATTGTCACATGCATGTCCCTTGTATAGGGGAGGCAACAGCCTTTTAAATAAATGGTGCATATAAATACAATACAGTGAATAACAGCCTATTGATATCTATTTTAACTCCAAGAGAAAGTCACTGCTTTGATATTAAATAATAAATAATCAAGAGCTATGATGGAACTGAAAATGACTGTATGTGGAACGATCTGGATGCGTGGTACCTTTAATATAAATAAAAATGATAGTCAGACATTGCTTCTTCTACATCCTCGGATAAACTACAGCAGCAGTTTGCAACTGGCAGCCTGCGGCCAATAATATCTGTCCTGCCACATCATTTTGGGAAATCTGATTAGGTTTATTTCACCATATCTGACACAGACATCCACGGTGTCTGGAGTGCTGATCTCGTCACAGCAGCCACATTCATAGAATCACTTCCTCTTTAGCAATGTGCACAATGTTTGTTTTGTTGCTGTCATGCTTTCTATCAAGCTGAATTACAGAGCTTTAATTTGAAAAAGGTGTGAACTGGGGCCTAAAGATTGTGTCGCTTGCTTAACAAACGTCTGAAAATGCTGATATCTAATATGTGGGGAAAAAAACATAATTTAATTTAATCATTCAAACTTATATAAAAACCAAACAACAGTTTTTTTTTTACAAAATATTTACCACAAAATCTCCTTTGCAGATAAACCAGATAGGATGAACACAAAATCTTCAAGCTTCACTCTGCACCAGAGACTGTTTTTATAAAGCTCTGCACACAATGTCCAGCACACACACACACACACAGACCCCCAATACAAAAGTGACATTATATTGTAGAACTGTTTGAGGACGACTCACTAATGAGCATTAACACAGGCCAAGTTAACAGCTGGTTCCAAACAGGGAGAACGGGCACTTCACTAGTCTCTATAAAAAATAAAGAAAAGGCTGGTGTGGCTGTTTGAAGAGTGAGTGTCAGTAAAGGTTTCTAATGAGTGTTTTTTCATATTAAAATTGATATTTTAATATGAAACATTGTTGCCACACTTCCTCACCTTGACAGACAGGCTGCGTGCCACTCCAGGTGCCATTGTGCAGGCAGGTCCTCTCAGCTGAGCCAGTCAGACTGTATCCTGCCTCACAGCTGAAACGCAGCAAGCTCTTGGTTTTAAATTCTTCCCCTCCCAGGCGGGCACCGTGGGGAGGGACCCCTGGGTCTCCACAGATTCCTGGACTCACACCTACAGTGATAAAAGAGGCATAATGTTTATGTACAGGATACACAACTACAGCCGCACACATGCACACCACTGAGGCAACCCACGCAGTCATGAACTCCTGGGATAGACACATACAAACACACATGCACTGCAAAGCTAAATACACTCAATATAGTTAATGTAAAAAAACAACTGCATTCAAATGGTGTCTGTTATCATCCTAATAGGTTGTAGTGATTTTATTTAGCTATATGGTAAAACAAAGGGTCAGAAGGTGGCCTCTCACTGAGGGCAGCATGCTAAAAATATACTCCTGCATTCAAGCTCCAGGTCAACAACATACACAACAAAGCATTTGTGATGCTTTTCATGTCATCGTCTGGTAACCTCTGTAACAGTGAACGCACAAATATTTTGCCTACTCAGTTTTTCCTATACAGTGACACACAGACATACATGCACACAAACTTTGTAAAACTGTACTTGTTCTAGCATTAAACGCACTGAGCGTGTCACAATTTGAGCAGCTTAAATTCCATCGGTGGGGATTTGTGAGTTTAACAGGGTACAGTGTCTTGCATCTCAATGAGGTCTTCAGCTGCAGGATGGATTCTGCCCCGCTGAGTGTTCTGTTTTGAGGCCAGCAGAGTAAGCTAATTGCATTTCAGCTGTAGAGACAGTTGATGCTGAGTTTGGAAATGATCGGTTGTGGTGTTGTGGGATATGTGTAAGCCTACTGTAGCGCAGCACTTACAAACTGAGAAGTAAACCAGGATTCTTCCAACTCTCTGGTTCTTATACATGCAGCTCAATCTGGGCTATTCACAGTATTGACTCAGGTTGGACTAGTAACATACAATCATGTCCATTTGTCTGTACCCTAAAAAATTCAATTGCTCTAATAGTGTTACACACATTTAATACACTGATCCAGCAAGTAGCAAGCTAATTACCAGCCATTTGTTGAAAGGAAGGAAGTTGAATTTTTTTTTTTAATGTCTTTTGTAAGTGGGACAGAAAATATTTTTTGTGGAGTAAGGACGTAAAATGCTGTAACATAGACTGTATATAAAGATGACGGCATGACAGCTCCCAAAAAAGTAAAGACAAAGCATCTTGACTGCAATATAGGTCATAAACCATGCCCCCTCCATGTTAGTAGATGGGAAGTGGTCAAACTTAAAAGAGAAAATACATGTCAAATAAGTTTTTAGTTTCTGTCATTTGAGGTAGTTCATCTCACACTATAACAATGAGGTGAACTAAGAGCTGAAACTGACTCGCAACTGGTGTTTTGAGGGAACCTGGTGACCATTGTTCCGTCCCCGGAGAATTACTGCTCAGACTCTGGTTCCAAAAGCACAAGATGGAGGTGTTCATATCCAAGATATTTTGATTTCATTTCTGGATAGTGGGAGAAGGTGGGGTCCATCTTTATATACAGTCTGTGGGCTATACAGTCATTGGGTTGCTACAACAGTTATTAGTATGCTAGAACGTCAGTAATTCTAGTATATCAAATTATAAATATATAACCCACTTGCTTACAGTCACCTACTAAACAAGTAAACTAACTTGTGGAATCATTAAATTACAAAACAGTGTCTTCTGGTATGTGATGTGTGTCTAGTCCCAATACAAAGGCCCATATGTGGATACATTAATGCAGTGGCTTAGTTCCCAGTAAAGGACTGCTGTTATCTACTGATTGTACATTAAATCCACTGACCTACAAAGTGAAAACACTTTCAAAGAAATGCAAGTCTAGCATTATGAAAAATTAAATTCTGCAATCTAAATTCTAAAGGCACCAGGTTGAGAGCAAAAAGGGTAAATTATAGTTCCATGCAATTTCTTGTCATTCAGCTCAGTACAGGCTACAGGTGACATTATACAGTATATTATGATGGCGCAAGAACACACAGAATACATCTTTGTTCTGAAATGAATAAACTTGTCATTCCAGATGGGATGAAACTTTCCTTTGACAGCTGAACCAATGTTATCCCTTTCTCATTAAAAACACAGATTACAGTCTTCAGTTCACTCTATCCTCATAGTTTTTATGTTGAGCAATGTTTTTTTTTTCAATTTTACTGAAGTTATAATTTTGAATATTAAAATTGACCTCCACCAAGGCTGATGTTTGTAAACAAGATTACACAAACACGAGAGGCTAGATTACCATGAAACATGGTGGGAGGATTTGTATGGGTCAAGGACGAACCCATCAAAGTTTGGTGCGATTCCAGATCAGGGGGCGATACAGGTCATCCAGGAGTTTCATGTATACACTCCGCTGAGTGACATTCTACTTTATCCATGAGTTTAAATGGTTCCCATCCATGAACGCTGTAGATTTTTTTGCTAAATATCATAATTTTCCCAGAGAACTGATGAGTGTGTGCAATTTTGCTTCAGCTTGATTGAATTTAAGGGGACTGTTGGGCTTTGGCAAAAGTATAAGCCGTTCTGTGTGCCGGTTCTAGTTTTTATATGTATTTTTATTTGTGTGGCCTCAGTTAGCTTCTCTAAAATAGTTTCTGTGGGAGTGGTTTGAGATATAATGGAACATATGAGTATGATTTATTTGTTGTTAACATCTACATCAGATAAAAAAGCACTGAAGAGCATGTATGAAGCTAAAGACCACCAGACATGCTGCTTCATGAACCAGTGAGCCATTACCTGTGCAGTACGGTGGCGCTCCACTCCACGTGCCGTCTTCCTGACAGTGGCGAGTAGCGTTGCCCACCAGCACCCCTCCAGGCAGACAGGAGTAGTGCAGCACTGAACTATACGTCCAACTGTGAGTTCCAGATACCACTGCATTAGGGGGTACACCGGGGTCTCCACAGGAAATCGCTATGGACACGGAGATGGATTTAAATAGAGAGAGAGGGTGTTAATGAGTGGGGGTTTGTGTCCAACTATAGATTCCAGATACTATTGCATTAGGTGGTGCAGCTGGGTCAGTGCAGGAGATAGCAACAGGAAGAGTATGAGTTAGTGAGAGTTATCGTCCAATTTTACAGATGGAGATAAATATTCCTTAAGTGTGATAGACAGCAAATGTTAGAAGAGAGACAAAGGTCAACAAAGGTCCCCAGCTGGAATACAAACTGAGGAATTTGTGGTTATGTGGTGTGCACCTGAATCATTAGGTAAAAGCTCTTTTAATATAACCTGCATACACATGTTTAAACAGAAGCTTTAATGCTTTGTTGACGCTGTACGGCAGTATGCCAGTTAAGCTTATTTTTATCGAGTTTAACTGAATTGAATGAGAGAGAACCAATAAGTCATCTCAAATTAAATTCCTTTTAGTTATAAAACATAAAAGAGCCTCTCTCTCCCCTATCAAAAAGCAGAAATCGCTCCGCGAAGTCCAATCTTTGAAAAAAAAAAAGAATTCTTCAATTTTGGAGAAATTGATGTTTTACACAGCACAGGTTTCTGGAGGACGCAGATATGAAACTGCTCTCCATTTTCTCTCCCCCTTACCCCAAAATTGTATTACTTCATCCTCTCCTTGCCCCATAGTCACCACCCCACTCCGCCCAATTTTCCGATAAGACCTTGTTTCTCCAATGTAATGCTCGACACACAGACACCGGTGTCTCACCAGTGTCTGCCCCTCTCTTCCTCTCTGTCTGATTCCTCATCGCCTGCTCTCTGTTACTGTGTCCTTGTTCAGCAGTCGCGTTCACCTCTCCATCTCTGAATCTGATTCCTTCTGTCTATTGCTCTCTCTGGTTTAATCTCTATGTTTCTATCAGCCGTGGTAGCCCCCTGACAATGCCTATAGCCCCAAAAGACATATCTCACCTTTTTTCTGTGCACACATCCACTCAGGCACGTACACAGACACATTCACGGACATGCTCAAACCTTTGAGTCTCTTTCTTTTCTACTCTTGCCTTCCTTTTAGGATTACCTCTCTCCCATTTTCTGCCTTGAACCTGCTTCTCTCAGTTTGTCATTCCCTCCTCACCTTCCTTCCAGTTGCTCTTGACGCCATTTCACTCTTTTCTGTCACATTGCCCATAAATAAACCTAAATGGAAATCTACCTGCCTATGGCTAATTGTGTTCGGCAATGACAAACCTTAGCAGACATTCCAAATAGTTGTGACCTATTCAAAATAAGACAAACAATTTAGTATTTGTTTTGAATAGTCTTTTAGCCTCTACCTATTTATCTTCCTTATTTCTCTTAAACCTGTTTTTTAATTGTTTCTTTCAAATCAAATCATTTTCAAAACTCCCTGCATTGGTCCATCCATACCTTGGCAGCGCGGGATTGGTCGGTCCCATCGTCCATCATGCAGACACGTGAGGAGCGCCGAGCCCAACAGGTAGAAGCCTCGTTTACAGTGGATCGCCACACTTACGCCATAACTGAAGACTTCTGGGTAGCGTAGGCCAGACTGGCGCACACCATTCTCCACGTGGCCGGGGTCCGAACAGTTAACCACTGCAAACGAGAGTACGAAAAACTGTCTAAGTCTCCAGTATATACATTATCATGGGCGGTGTATTCTGCAGTATTGACAAGAGAAGAGAGATCAATGAGCTGTACAGTGAAATTTGGGACATTTATTATCATTTTGTGTCACCATTGACAGGTTTACTGTTTCATTATTTCATCCATAAAGTCTAAGGAATCTGATGCATTGTGGGATTGTTGGCAGACTTTATGTATACACTAAAGAGAACAGTAAATGTATTGCACTATATAGCACATAGGCAAATGGACAGATTGTCTGCATGAGGAGACTTTAAAGAAGAACCACCAGAGAACAGGATGGTGTTATATACTGTCAGGGTCTTAAACCCTGAATCACAGTGTTGCAAATCCAGATTGTCCTTGTTGCACTGTCCTACTCTCCTCTATACTGCTCTTTTGTCACACCCTGCTTTGTTCTCCAGAGTTCTTCTTTGTTGTCTACTTTCTCCTCTTGTCCCCTCGACTCTGCTCTGCTCTGCTCTCTGGGTGCATGCCAGTCCAAAAAGAGTTTGATTTTCCACATGTCACAGGGGAGACTGACATTCACTCAAATTTAAGTCCGTGGGGGACATGGGCATATGTGTGTGTTTGTGTGCTGGTGTTGGCTGTGTGTGTGTGCATGTCTGGCACCCTATGGGAACAAAGAAAGTTTCAGTCTCATAACTGACAGCTGCTGCGGGGAGGGAGAGAGGGATAAGACAGAAAAAGTCAGGGAGATGGAGAAAGCAAGCAAGCAAGGATGAATCCCTTCAATGGAAAACCCATGTGAGCAACTACGTTGTATCGATCTGCTCTCACGACTGTGCTGAAGGACTCTGTGTTTGTGTTTTAGTATATCATAACTGTTACACGAGCAGAGGTCTGGGTCTTGTAGTGTAACGACCACGCATGGTTAGCAGAGGAGAAGAACGCGTCTCTGCACATGTACCCAGCTGTGTGTTGTGTATGTGGGAGTGTCTGCACATTTAAAATGTTCAGTCTATTGAGAGACACACACACGTAAACCAGACTGACTGTGGCTGAATACAGTTCAATGGAGACCGTGTTTATGCTACAGTTATTCAGTTCTCAATTTTACAGTTTGCTGGAAGCAGATTTGGACAAAACATTCCAGTTGACATACTGCAGCTTGAAGAAAATCAGGTCGAAATAATACTGAATACGTACCGACCAGCTAAGATCCCTGGTTTACTTGGATCTATGGTTTTTAAAACCTTCCTCCCATTAGGTTAGATTTTCCTCAGCTGTGTGTTGAGGTGGCAACATGACTAGAAATATCTTAATGTAATGATTTGAAAGTAAAAACAATTGAAGCTCCTAACACATGCAATCACATCCTGACAATGTATGCACAACTGCATTTTCTTCTTCTAAATATATGGTGGAGGTGAAATGAAAGAAAAATCCACGCCATCATATTCTGTGTACAATAATCTGAAAGCATCTACAGGGATGTACAATGGGTATAAGCCTGTAAAGCTGTGTAAATATAAGTGTTTGTGACCTTTGCAGACAGGCAGGGGGCTGCTCCACTGTCCGTTCAGTCGACACTGAGCCCGAGCGTTTCCACTGAGGATGTAACCTCTGTTGCAGGTGAAGTTGACAACATCATTGAGGTTGAACTCGCTGCCATTGGTCCGCCCGTTGGCTGGGTTGCCGGGATGACCACAAGTGATTGCTGATGAAGTAAATAGAAGTTTAATGAGAAACACGATGTGTGTAAAATCTAATGGATATCTTCATTGTTTTTACTGTAATATATAAATGCTGCAGAGACTCTCCCTGATAGAACATTTCAAAGCCTAAAAAGCCTAAAAGGTGTGATTTATTTTTATGACGTTTTTTTGTTATTGATTTCCTTTCAATAGAAAAACATTTTACTGTGTGAAGTAGCAGTGAATCACGATACACTGGGGCGGGCCTACAGTGGTTCTGGTATCATAAAAGTACTTACGGACACAGACAGGGGTTGTTCCGGACCACCGATGGTCTTGCTGGCAGATTCTGACTGATGTTCCAATTAGACGATATCCCAACATGCACTGGTACACCACCGTGTCACGGTAACTTGACCCATCTCCACTAATGTGCCCATTGACAATAGGATCTGGAGAGTCACAGTGACCAGCTAGAAGAGACAGAAGGATGGAGATGAATGCACTCTAAGTGAAAACAACCTAAACTCTCCTTTTTAGGTTTTAAAGTCGTTGGTGTTGGTTCAGCTGTCCTGTAGTGTGTCTGTATGAACTGACAAACAATGTGCAGGAGCTGTTCATATATAATACACTATAAATCAATGTTCAGACACAGTGCAGCTCTGTGACTGAAGCCCTAACCATTAAAACCATTCATGTGCATGCTTTAAGTGGCCTTGAAATACAACATCCTTTCATGATTTCTTAAACCTGAGGATGTAAATTGCAGGACACAACATGAGAGCTTCACTGTGGAGAATCATTGAATTGTATTCAATACTATTTCATCTGTAATGAGACCAACATCCCAGATTTCACAGTCAATTCATCCCTTCGTGATTCTGTGCCTCGTGGAGTCAATGACTGAAGCCCAATGGTGTTTGATGTTTTTTTTTTCTTCAAATGATTCGATGCACTTTCTTGAATGATGATTAATGCTGTGAAAACAGACATCTAGAAAATTGATTATTTCATATAACTCATTAGAGATTACCGTTGATGTAATGCTGCTATTTCTACTACTTGTTTTAACAGATTCTAGGACTTTTATTATAAGTACCAAATCAGAGCTGCTGTGAAAAACTAGAACATTTCAAAGTGAAATACTGCGAATTACATATTTTTTTAGAAATTATGAGGAACATATGTTTCACTTTCTTTAAAGAGACACATTTCTTAATTTAATAAACAAGACACATCTTGCAAGGGAGTTACACCAGCAGCAACACTCATCCACATGTTAATGTTCTGAGCCAAGAGTACTCAATACTACTACTAATATATGAGTAATAATTAGTAGATTATCACATTAGCAATGTACTCATTACTACATTATCACATGAGTATCCAGTGCTCAATACATTATTACAGTAGAGTACTTAGCTATTCTTTTTTTATTATTATATACTCAATCATAACTACAATATTACATAAGTAATTAGCAGCCTACTAATTACTACATTATTCTATGTGTACTAATTATTACATTACACTGCAGTACATTCCTACATGTGTAGCCTTCATTTACATCTTAAATCCACATCTGATATGTTTTGTGACTTGCACAGTTATAACACAACGTGGTTGCCCAATCTGCCCACAAACAAATGAACGCCTATCAAGGTAGCAACTCAAAACCTACCAGGACAGAAGGCACCACAGAGAAAACGAAGTAGCCCTATATATTATTCTGTGTGGGTTAATAAATGGGCACAATGCACTTCATGAAATGACTTCACATGACTTCCTTGATTAATCACAGTTTAAAGTTAGTCACTTTAGCTTGAAGTGAATCATAAGAATTAATCAGCTCAAATAAATAATATTCTGATGTGTGATATTTCCAGTCCTGACCCAAATCATCAACATACAGAGTTGCACTGATGAATGACTGACATTAAAAACACATTTGTAGCCGTATCAGTCAATTTACTGACTTAAAAATGTTAAACTCTTCTTACATCAATGCTTATGTTATTTTGCTTTATATGACATTATAATGACATAAAGGTAGACATGCATTCATTTATACAGTCATCATATAAAATGTGGATTCTGCATGAAGTTTCTTACTCAGGTATGCAACTCCAAGGTGGAATCATTGGAGTGGAGTGTGCATGTAAAATCAGTATTAATCTTCTATGGCTAGTGCTTACTGAAGGTCTAAATCAAGCCCTTAATGTAATAAGTGATAACACGTCCCATAGTACATCATTTGAGTAACTGAGGCATGTGCACAGTTTATCCTACTTATTGCTTGTCTAATTTGCATAGACTTTACCTAGACACCTTTAGCAACCCCATGTATTAACAAAGATTCTATGTAGAATGAATGCCTTCTCACATTTCTATTAAACATTCAATCTTTACAAAAGACCTTGACACAGCTTTGCCCTCTGTAGAGAATATTCAGATACCAATGCATATGGCAGATAAATATGGAGCTTTCATCAAGTTATATAGTTATATTTGCCAGTATGTAAATTATATGAACACACTGATCTTTAATTAAACACTTTTAAATTATTTATATTATATGAGAATATTAATACCACAAGTCTAACAATTGATATCAGGTCCTGCTTGATATTTAACAAAATATAAAAGATACACAAGGGATATTTAATGCAAGATGCCTCCAAGCCTTTGTTTTAACTCTTTCAACAGCTGCTACATTTCATTACCAATACACACTGCTTCATTTCAGTTTGAATTATTCATATCCTTGAATCGGCGTAATTCATTATTTTATTGTTTTATGTTTTAGGACAGGATGCAACACAACGTATATCTTCTCACATTTAGTGGACCTTACCTAAACACCTGGTTTCTGCACCACTCCACAGCCCATTAGCTCCGCACTCTCTGACATGTGATCCCACCAGGGTGTAGCCATGGTTACACATAAAGATTGCAGTTGCTCCGAATGTGGTCAACGTCCCAAGTTTGGCCCCAAAGGGTGGAGAAGGAAGCTCACCACAGGAGATGACTAAACAATCAGATAAACATTATAAGGTCATTTAATTACAAGAATACAATAGAAATTATATATGATACAGCATTATGAGGCTATGGGTACAGTTGAATTATCTGTGTTATATCTGGATATGAGGTGGGTTATGCTGCCAGGTCGTCATGTGAGGTAGGGTGGATAAAACACTGCAAAACCTGAATTTAGTTCCAATAAACTTTTTTTCCTTAATGTCCTTGAAAACATTGTTGTCAAACGACTGGTCAGCTTGAAGAATAGACACTTTATTAAATCCCTCAGACATGCCGCAGTGTGAGGTAGGTCAACTCAAATAATACGGGATCAGGAAAAATGAGAAAAATAACTGAGAATGTAGCACAATAATATTGTGGTCTGAGATGTTGTAAGATAGATGTCAATTTTTAATCATTTTACTTCTCAAGTGTACACATTTTACCTTTTCACCCCCAACGTCATGTATTATGTAACACTGAGAAGCCCTGCAGCCTGTTGTAAAGTTTTCTGAGTCACTGCTCTCTTAATACTTCACTTAATGAAAGCAGAAAAGGCACATTGCAGAGTAACTCTGCTTGACAAACCAATCGTGCACCATTGCCAACATATAGTTCACATTAATGAATCATAGATATCAGTCAGATGAAAATAGTTTTCAAGCTGTCAAGACATTGTTGAAATATATGTACAAACACATATACCCCTGTTAACTAGTTTAAAAAACCAAGGACTAAGGCCAACACACACTATCCCGTCTCCTCAACACGGCCATATACTCCCACTCAAAACAACTGAAAGGCAAATGCTGTTTTGGCACAAAAGAAGGGAACTTTATCAGAGGAAATACTTTCACTGACTTTTCCTGCTGTTTTCTCATCAAGATGAATGAACTGTTTTGATAACTCGTTCATGTCAGTTTGTGGCAGCAGCTGCAATGTGTTCTTTTTGTGCCTTGATAGTCTTTTGTGTACATGTGTTTCCTGCTCGTGCAGATGAAGTGTGAGTGTATGTGGCGTCTCATCCTGGCAGGTTTTGTTTTCACTGGCTTTTGATGGTTAATTAGCAGGTTTACACAAAGACTACTGGGCGGATTACCATGACATTCTATGAAAGGATGGGGAATGTGTCATTGCCATTAAATGTTGGTGTGGATCTGGCAGATCCAGGAATATTCCCTTCCACATTTTTCAACATTATTGTTTATTCTCAGTGAATAATTAATAGTTCTTGGCAAAAAAACCCATCTTTCATGTTTGGGTAACTGATATTTATGAGTCTTTGCAACTGGTGCAGATCCATATACAAATCTTTGCATTTTTCGTTTCATAAGGGGACTGTTGGGCTATTAAGTGCTATTCTAGTTCATCCATTGGTTTAAATGGTTCCCCATTCATGACAAGTATCTTCAAATGAGAAGTGACATACTGTTTTATCTGTGCAATGTGAAGCACAAAGGAGTGTGAAGCATTTCATGTATGCAAATACACAGGGCTGAGGGCACTCAGCTAAAATAGATTTCCTAAATCCTAGCTATGGCTGTGTGTCTGTGTAGACTCATAAAGAAAGCTATACCCTGTCATCCTGAGTGCACAAACATCATATCACAGTTTTATTATCATCTTATTCAGAGTAAGAAGAATTCAGGTAATACCCAATTATTTTGCTCTCAGTCATAGTCCTCATGATGACTTGTATATCAATACTAACTTTTGCATGTAGCCAGGTCATCAGATCCTTCCCAGGTCCCGTTGGCAAGGCAGCGAAGTGTCCGATGCCCAACACCCAAATAATAGCCTGATGAGCATTCCAGCATCACCATAGACCCAAACTCTCCCAACCCTCCATAGAGCAGGTGGAAGGTCATGTGATCTGTCAACACACCCTCAATGCTAGGGCAGTGAATCGCTAGAAAATAAAAATACACCAAATAAAC